AGATGAGTGGGTGGGGATCATCACAGGGAAGATCGACGAGAAAAGATTTTTTTGTTGTTGTTGTTTTTAGAGACAGGGTTTCTGTAGCTTTGGAGCCTGTCCTGGAGCTAGCTCTTGTTGACCATGTTGGTCTCGAACTCACAGAGATCTGCCTGCTTCTGCCTCACAAGTGCTGGGATTAAAGGCGTGCACCACCACCGCCCGGCCTCAGAAAAGTTTTTTTGTTGTTGTTGTTTTGTTTTTTGTTTGTTTGTTTGTTTTTCGAGACAGGGTTTCTCTGTGTCTTTGGAGCCTGTCCTGGAACTAGCTCTTGTAGACCAGGCTGGCCTTCAACTCACAGAGATACACCTGCCTCTGCCTCCCGAGTGCTGGGATTAAAGGCGTGCACCACCACTCGGCCTGAGAAAAGATTTTAAGGCTAAGACAGAACTCAAAAATATTTACCAAATTGGTCAGATGACAAACTCAAAAATAGGCAGACGGTGAAGAGAGGCCTCTCTTAATTATGGTTAGGCGTGCTAGGGTGTAGAAGGTTGTGACCTGACAATTTCTGAAAATACAAACATGTTTCAGTACATCCAGTACCCCCAGTTATTGAATTTTCTTCATTATATCATCGTATCAATGCATTCTGAAATAGAAACTGGAGAGATGTCATGAGTTAAGAGAGCTTGTTGCTTGCTCTTCCGATGACCTGAATTCTGTTCCTGGTACCCACTTGGCAACTCACAACTATCTCATAACTAATTCCAGAGGATCTGATGCCCTCTTTTGGTCTCTATGGGCATCAGGCATACATGTGGTACACTGAAATATATGCAAGCAAATATTCATAAACAAAATTATATAAGGGAATAAACCATCAGAGAATCTTTTCTCAGAGAAGTGTCTTAAGAATTCCTACCCTTCCTGTGTGCTTCTGCACACCTTTAGTCCCAGCAACCAGGAGGCAAAAAAAAATTTTACCCTTCCTGCCTCAGCCTTCCAAGTGATGAGATCACATGTGTTCACCACCACAACCAGTCTTTCTTTCTTAGCTGGCCTCTGTAGATCTCCAGATTGATTAGTACTGATCTCCAAACCTAGGGCACTCTCCTTGTATACCAAACTAACTTTAACACTCAAAGACTAAGTCAACTTCCAACATGCTTTAAAACTAGGTATTTGAACTCTCGGGGCTTTCACAACATCCCAGCCTGAAATACAGTTCTTTAAGGTTTTTCAAGACAGGGTTTCTCTGTATAACAACCCTGGCTTGTCAACACAGAATCACATCCCTAGCCCACTTGCTTGCCTTTATATATATATATAAAAAAATGCTACGGGCAGGAGAGAGATGATGTGGTTATGTGTCTGTCCAGGTTTGAACAATTTTACAGAAGCTGCTAGCAGCCTAAATCTAACTTGTACCAATCATAAAAATACCCAATATTAGCCTGGCTGCAGGCCATTGTGGCACACACCTTTAATCCCAGCACTTGGGAGGCAGAGGAAGGGGATCTCTCTGAGTTCCAGGCCAGCCTTGTCTACAGAGTGAGTTCCAGGACTGTTACAAGAGAAACCCTGTCTACAAGTTTCTGTCTATGTTTCTCATAGAACATAAGCCCATATTTGCCTTTAATAAGAATACTAATGTTTCTCCCTCCCTGCCCCCACAGGGTTTTACAACTGTGTGCAAACATGACTGGTCATGGGAAGTGGTGGGGATCACATTGAGGGCTTCACAAATGGAGTGATGGCTCAGTGGTTAAAAGCACTGACTGTTCTTCTGGAGGTCCTAGGTTCAATTCCCAGCACCCACATGGTTTCTCACAACCATCTGTAGTGAGATCTGGTGCCCTCTTCTGGCCTGTAGGCATACAATAGATAAATCTTTTTTTAAAAAAATCATCTAGCCTGGTCTGCTAGTCTGGTCTGAAAGTATCTCTTAGCAGTCCTCACTGCTTAATATGAGCTTGGGAAGGGAGGGGTCTAGTGCATCTGGTCAGTTTCAGGGACTTCCTGAGGCTTTTGAGTTGTTAACTTTCAATAAGAACCACCCTTTAAAACACCCTGAATTTTGTTTTGTCTACATAGCCCAAGCTGTCCTGGAACTCACTATGTAGACCACGTTGCCCTCCAATTTAGAGATCTGCCTTCCTTTGCTTCAGAGTGCTGGGATTAAAGACATTAAAGACCACCATATCTTGAAGTGCTTCCCTGAAGGATACAATGTATCTAGTCCTGGGGAAATAGTATAGAACACCTGATTTCAAATCTAGGCACTTGGTGAAAGTAGCAAAGAACTACAAGCTGTCCAATAATCTCTGTACTTGTGTGTAGACTAAATAAATGTAAATAATTTAAAACATTGTACTTAATTTTACCTGTTTTGTTTAATGTAGCTACTAGAAAATAGAAATTTTCCAGGCTGTGATGGTGCACACTCGGGATGCAGCATCCCAGCAGGATGCAGAGGCAGGTGAATCTCTGTGAGTTTGAGGCCAGCCTAGTATACAAAGTGAGCTCCAGGAAGGCCAGGACTATTACAAAGAGAAACCCTGTATATTGCTTACATTATATTTCACACACATTCTTTCTCATGCGTTTTATAGCACACACAGAAATGCTAGCTTGTGAGCAAAGGTGACGGCTATAGGTTAATTTATCTTCAATTGCTCTCCACCTTAAATCAAGCACTTTACCCACTAAGTCATCCCCCCAGGCCTAATTTGTTTGTTTTTTTGTTTTTCAAGACAGTCTTTCTCTGTGTAGCCCTGACTGTACTGGAACTTGCGCTATAGACAAAACTGACCTTGAACTCAGAGATCCCTCTGCCTCTGTCTCCCACATGCTGTGATTAAAGTGCACCAGTTCCACCACCACCCAGCTAGGCTTAGTTTTGTTTTGGTTTGGTTTTGGGGTGTTTGTTTGTTTGTTTGTTTTTTGTTTTTCTAGACAATGTTTCTCTGTAGCTTTGGAACCTGTCCTGGAACTAGCTCTTGTAGATCAGGCTGGCCTCGAACTCACAGAGATCCGCCTGCCTCTGCCTCCCGAGTGTTGGGATTAAAAGCATGCGCCACCACCACCAGTCTAGGCTTAGTTTTTTATTATTTGTATTTGTGTGTTGTGTGTTGTCTGTATATGAAGCTAAAGGAGGGCATAGGATCCCCTGGAACTGGAGATGACAGGTAGTTGTGAGATGGGTACAGGAACCTAAACACCATATGTAGTTGTTGGGAACTGAACCAGGTCTTCTGGAAGAGTAGCAAGTGCTCTTAAATGCTGAGCCATCTCTCTAGTGCCCTCTAATATAGTACCTTCAGTTTTCCTTTGAGACATGGTCTTTTCACATAACCCTAGCTGTCTTGGAACTCACTATGTAGACTAGGCTGGCCTCAAACTCACGAGGTCAGCCTGCCTCCCAAGTGCTTAGACTAAAGGTGTGTGTCACCAGCACTGGGCTCCAGACAAGGCTTTGTGCTCATATTATCGGCATGAGATGCTGGGGGTGGAACCCAATGCTCTGTGCACACTAGATAAACATTCTACCAATCATTTTCTTTACACACTTTCAAGTGTTTTCTTGCTTTTGGACTGCAGGAATATTTTATTGTTATTGTTTTGCTGAGTTAGGGTTTCTTGCAACCCAGATTGACCTCCAACACCCCGTATAACTGAGGCTGGCCTGAAACTCCTGATCTTCCTGCTTCTATTGCCCAAGTGTTAGGATTGTAGGTTTAAGCCACCATAAGTGGCTTTCAGTTTAACTGAGCATGGTGGTGTTCACCCTTAATTCCAGTACTCGGGAGGCAGAGACAGGGGGTGTAATGGTGAGAGAGAGTGGGAGGGACAGAAGAGGAGACGGGGAGAAGGGAGAGACAGAAGCTGCCTCTTTGAGAGGGAGATGGAAAAGAAAGAACTGCTGGAAGCTGAAGATCAGCCTGCCTCAGTGGAGTGGGGAGAGAGTGGGCGTGGCTTGTCTCTTAAAGGGACAGAGCCGACCATTACAGGGGATTCTTTGAGTTTGAGGCAAACCTGGTCTATAGAGTGATTTCTAGGACAGCTAGGGCTGTGTAGAGAGACCCTGTCTTACCTTCCTCCCAAAATAACCTACTGATAAACAATTTTTTTTAAATTATCAGGCTATAGGTATAGCTCAGCAATAGAGAACTTGTTTAGCACATCCCAAGCCACATGTTTGAGCCCCATTATCAATAAAGAAAGGGAATATACTGTAACATTTAGTAATGATTTAAAAAAAAGATTTGTTATTTATTATATATACTGTGTTCTTTTTGCAATGTGCCACTGCAGGCCAGAAGAGGTCACCAGATCTCATTACAGATGGCTGTGAACCACCATGTGGTTGTTGGGAATTGAACTCTGGAAGAGCAGTCAGTGCTGTTAACCAATGAGCCATCTTTTCAGCCCTAGTAATGATTTTAAAATCATTTAAAACCTAGTAGGGTTTTTAAATCAACAGTGCATACATATAACTTTGTCGCTTTTGGAAAAACTCTAGTATTTGTTTTTGTCTTCTACTGATTCTGTCAGTTTGCGATTAGAACCTG